TCCTTAGCCATGCTACAGCGGCAGCTCGATGTAGACATACTCGTGACAGGTCACACCCACCAGTTTACCGCATACAAACATGAAGGTGGGGTTGTTATAAACCCGGGATCTGCTACCGGTGCGTATAGCAGCATCACTTATGATGGCAACCCAAGCTTTGTCCTGATGGATATCGACGGGCTACGAGTCATGGTCTATGTCTATGAACTCATCGACGGAGAGGTTAAAGTTGACAAAATCGATTTCAAGAAGACAGCCGATACAATTCACCATGCTCCATGAACATTTTTAAGGGGTTTACCATCTGCTGCTGTTGAAATGGATTCTTTTCCTTTTCCTGAATGTTAGTGTGCCTTTACATCAATAATGTTTTTGTAAGGTTGAAACTAATTATTTAGTTTGCAAGTTTCAAAATTTTCTCTAAATTTGTGATTTTATGTATATTATAGATTATAGATATAAACGGTGGATGTCGCCACCTCCCGGTTGGCTTTGTCTAAATATAGATGCGGTTGTTCCTCATGGCACTGCAACTAGCTCGGTTGGTAGAATCCTTTGCGATCACAACGGTTCACACTTAGCTTCTTTTCACAAGAATGTCGACATCACTACGATTCTTCAAGCCGAAATATAGGGAATATTTGAAGGTCTGAAACTCGTGGAAACTGAAAACATCAAGAATATTGTCGTTCAATCAGATAATTCAGATGTGATAAAGCTGCAATCTCCTCCGTCCTCCAACAGCCCTTTCCCGCTGGTTCGCTCCATTGCTCGTCTCTGTGAAGAAGATTGGAACATTACTTTTATTCATGTACCTCGTGAGGCCAACATGGTCGTTGTTTATGATGCAGTCACCCCTCACGTTGATCTCCTTTGAGTTACTTGATCGAGATTGTAATGGCCCTCCCTATATTCGTGTATTGAGTGTGTAATGTCCTGGCTTTAAGCCTCACTTTTATTCTAAATAATAATAATAATAATAATAATAATAATAATAATAATATAATAACATATACACCAAATATCTCTATCTTTGATGATCATTTTAAGAGTCTTAAAAATTTAATGACCAAAACAAATGTTGGAGCATAGTTCAACACTCTCTTGTATATTTTACCGTATAAATAATCCAAGACTGTGCACCAAACGAAATGGCCGGAAGCTCAAATTCAAAGGTCAAAGGCGATGCTATCAACAGATTTTTAAAAATATTAAAAAAAAAGCACTGGTTTTGAGAACAGAAGTTTGCTTCGTCTTCAAGTAAATAATTAGAAAAGAAATTATTTATTTATTAAGAAAATACCATAATTTCAATCTTTGTGATACCGAAATTATTTTTCTTTTTAGGCGAAAAACATTAGAAGTCTTTGTACTTTTTAAAAGCCCAATGTAACCCTCATATTATTTTTTTCTTAATGTGACTCTCAAACTCAAAACGAATCCAATGTATCCCTTTGATCAACATTTTTCGTCGTTGACCGTTACAGTACCGGCGCATCTGTTCACAGCGCTGATGTGATGGTCCTTGGTGCTGATATGACAGTCCATCTGCTATGTTTGTGTTATCAATTTAGTTAATATGTCATGTCATCCGTAACATTAGTCTGCCATCATGGTCTATCATATCAGTATCGTAGATTGCCACATCATCATCGTGAACTGTAATATATAAATATCGTAATGGTCAACGACGAAAAAATATTAGTCAAATGATCATATTAAATTTATTTTATGAGTTAAAAAGTCATATTACAAGAAAAAATAACACGAGGATCACATTAATTGTTTTAAAAGTACAATGATCTCTAATGCCTTTTTACCTTCTTTTTATCTAAAAAAAATCAAACCCAACTTTTTGTTTTTATTATTATTATTTTGAAGAAAAAACGGCATTTAGGCTCATAATCTTAACACAGTTAATAGTTAAATAAATGGGATTATGCATAATAATTAATAATTCAACACAGTGGGCTCTCAGCTCTGTTTTGTACAATCTTTTTGCTCGTATTATGACGGCTCTGTCTGTTGCTAAAGTGAAAAACAAATGAAAATTGCCTCATATTACTTGTATTTTAAAGGTCTGCATAACAAATTCTTTTACGTTATTTTATGTAATAATTAAATAATTTCATATTTGAACTGACATTTTAAACTAATTTTCAAACAGGAAAATTCTTTCCTGTTTCCCCTCGTTTGAATTGAAGCATGAAAAAGACAATAATACCATAAAGTCAACATTATAATATATTTATATATATCTATCATCAATATAATATGTTTATTTATACCGACTGAGAATATATCCTTTAGGGTGCGTTTAGTTCACGGAATGTAAGATTACCAGTGGGAATAAAAGATTACCAGAGAATAAGATTACTGAGAATGTTGTATTTTGTGTTTGGTTGGTTTAGCAGGAATGTAAGATTACCGTGTTTGGTTAAATGAATAAAAGATTATTGGAATGTATATTTGACCAAATTGTCCTTATTATATATTTATTTTTTTAACAAGTTGAAAAATATTTATATATTTTCTTTCAAAAAAATTATATTCATAAAATTTATATAATTTTTTTTACAAAATTGAAAATATAAAAAGGTTTAATGAAAGGGTAAAATTTTATTTTAATCCCTGAACTTCATATAAAATTTTAATTATAGTTTTTTTTTTGTAAATCTAAAATAGTTTAAGGATAAGTTTATAATTTAACATTCGTGGAATTTTTATTATTCAATGACAAAATAAGAATATTTTTGGAAAAAAAATTAAGGGCATTTTAGTCCAAAACGTCGGTAATCCAACAATACCTACTAAAATAAAGGTAATGGTATTCCCGATAATATACAAAAAAAATCCACTATTGGTAATGTAAGATTACCGGGAATGACATTCCCGGCCAACCAAACGGGGGAATGTGGATTCCATTACAACGAGAATCTCACATTCCCCCAACCAAACACACTATTAAAATTAGTGGCTTATTAGATTGGGAAGGTCGCCTTTTCTACAGTATCTAATTCAGATTATTCGATTAATAGATCAGATACCGATGATTATTGTATAACATGTTTATTTATGGGTGTTAATGTAAAATTATGAAATTGACAAATTTATATGTGGTGGTGGTTTACTTATTGAAATTGTATTTCTAGCTCAGTTGGTAGAGCACAAGGCTCTTAATCTCGTAGTCGTGGGATCAAGTCTCACTGAAGGCAATTCATAACGGAGGTCTTCCACGAAAGTTGCTCTCAACCTGACATTGAGGGCAACCTATTACCCTACCTCCTTTTACCCCATTACATACGGAAATATGGTCATCTTGGTGGTTTACTTACCGGAATAGGTTTTCTCATAAAGCACGTTTTCATATATAAGAAGAAAAACTAATTTTCAATGACGTGCAATTCTATGGAAATTTGATGGTATTTTTTTTACATAAATATATAGTTGACGTACCGTTTGATGAATATAAAACTAATTTTAAAAAGTTATTACAATTTTTATTAGCAAAAAATATTACAAATTTAAATATTAAATATTACCTTTTTAATTCAAATTTGATTCTTATAATATGGTTACTTGCCTCATATGTCCTCAAACTATGACTTTCGTTTCAAATTAGTTCTTAAACTTTTAAATATTCTAATTTCATCCTCAAACTATAAATCTCATTCTAAATTAATCCCTAAACTTTTAGATATTCCAATTTCATCCCCAAATACATAATCCATTTCAACCACAGTTTAACCTAAATTTTAATTTTTTTCAAACATATAATAACATAACTTGGCCTAATGATTTTATTAACAAAAGATGTGATTAATATATACATATAATTTAGGATAAAATTGAAATATTAAAAAGGTTTGGGGATTAATTCAGAATGAAGATTATAGTTTGATGATGAAAATGAAATGTCAAAAGTTTAAGGACTAATTTAGAATGATAATCATAGTTTAAGGATAAAATTGAAATGTTTAAAAATTTAGAGACCAATTTGAAATAAGGGTCATAGATTGGGGACATATGATGAAATTAACTCTTATAATATTTAATAAAAAAATTCGATTCTATTCATTTCGCATATATAAAATTTAAAACTAAATAAATACGAAAAAAGTTAGACATAATTTTATACAATAAAATTTAAACTATGATCCTTATACTTTAAACTTTAATTTTAAAATGTAATAAAGTGTGTTTTATCAAAAAAGTATAATCAAGTGTGTAGTTTGATATCTAAGTTAAGTAATTGTTGCATATAATTTTTTTAGTAAAATTAATGTTTTTTAACAATTATTTATTAAATAAAATAATTTTAAATAGAAATCCCTTTCCGAGAATTAATTTATTAGCTTAAATGAATTATTATTAAGGGTAAAGTACACAAATGATCCCTCGATTATAAGGTATTATTTTGTTGAATCTCTCAACTATCAAAAGTTACAAAATGAACATCTGACTATTCTTTATGTTTCAAAAGCGTCTTTTTTGTTAAAAATTGACGGTAGTATGAGCTTGATGTTAATATTCTATTTGAGATATGATAAAATATGATATTAGAATCTCAAACGATTATCATATCCCATACAATAGAATAAAATTCAGCTCAAATTGTCGTTAAAGGGTGAGTTTGGAATATAATGAATAATTAAGTGACTATTTTGTAACTTTTAATAGTAGAGGGACTCAACAAATAACACCTTATAGTTAGGAACCATTTTGTAACTTTTTAATAATCGAGAGACTTAATAAAACAACATCTTATAACCGGGACATTTTGTGTACTTTAGCCTATTATTAATTAGTCAACAGATACATATATATTCACAAGTTATCTTCGACGAAATTACCTGTAAGTGGCAAAACGGAAAATAATTCAAACTCCAAGGGTAATTTACCTTCCTTTTTCACTCATATAATCACACAAAAACCCCGCCTTTTCAACTGTTTATATACATATAAGAATCCAAAAGCAAGTCCTACAAAAAAACCAAATCGACTTTTTTCAAAAAAAAAAAATGGCGATGGGGGGAATTGACCTGCTTGGTTTGCAATTCAAAGCTCTGTTGAAGAAGAATCTGATACTCTCCTTGCGGAACAAGCGATCGACGTTTATCCAACTCTTCTCTTCGTTGTTCTTCATCTTCCTCCTGTTTGGTATCGACAGAGCAACCAATGCTCAAAACGGCAACACGACGACGTACGAGGACATTCGGGATCCGAAGCCGCTGGTGGCTCCGGCGGTCCCTGCATGCGAGAACAAGTACTTTGTTAGGCTACCTTGCTACGACTTCGTTTGGAGCGGGAACGAGAGCCGGACCGTTGACAGGATCGTTAGAGCCATTAGAGAGAACAATCCCGGCAGGCCCATTCCCGATTCTAAAGTAAAATAAAACTAATTTATGTATATTCTCTGTTAATGAATACCGTGAACCGCGCCGGATCCGTGAATTTTTTAGGGTGTCGGAATTGAATTATAATTTTTTTGATGCAATTTTACCGTTCAGTAACTTAAAACTTTACAATTTCTGAAGGGATCTACCTGCAATATTACCATTTTGGACCTTTGTTGTTATATTAACTTGGTTGTGCTTTTTTTTAATTCTGCTATTTAAAAATGTTAATATATATGTTTTCTTCAAATTTGTTCTGTATTAGCAGAATGCAAGGAAAGTTTTGCTGTAGTAGTTATACTGGTTACTTGGATAAATAAAACAGTTACTTATATGTATGTATGTTGATGTATTTTTTGCAGGTTAAATCGTTTAGGACTACTGGTGATGTAGATGAGTGGCTTTTCAATAATCCTATGCATGTCCCGGGAGCTTTGCATTTTAGAGAACTTAATGGAAGTGTGATTAGCTATGGTTTACAGACTAATTCTACTGGAATGAGAAGACGGGGACAATATGAAGATCCCACACTTAAATTCCAAATTCCACTACAACTTGCGGCAGAACGTGAGATTGCTAGGTCGCTAATTGGAGGTACTAAGTTCTTCTCCTATTAAGGAATTTTATTTGACGGATGTGATTTGTGTTTCTTTGTCTGATTTGTTTATATGATAACGCAGATCCAAACTTTGGATGGACTGTTGAATTCAAGGAATTTGCTCACCCCGCAGAGGACGACTTTTCCGTGTTGGCTACTGTTGGACCGATTTTTTTCCTTGCGATCGCAATGTTCAGTTTTGTGTTCGAGATTGGTTCGTTGGTGTCGGAGAAAGAACTCAAGCTTCGACAGGTCTCAAATTTTTATATTCAAAACCGAGATTAGTTTTGCAATCTTCATACAGGAATATAATGGATCCAGTTTGTGTACTTTTTTTATTCTTGCTCAACAGGCTATGACTATGATGGGTCTTCTTGATTCTGCCTATTGGTTATCGTGGCTCACATGGGAGGGATTCATGACACTTATTTCGTCACTCTTTATAGTTCTGTTTGGAATGATGTTTCAGTTTGATTTTTTCTTGAACAACAGTTTTGCCGTTCTCTTCTTTGTCTTCTTCCTTTTCCAACTCAATATGGTAAAAACATGTTCCTTGATCTTTTCAGATGATTTGTTTGTGTTTATGATTCCCTATGTTGATTTCTGTTCTTGATTAAGTAACGATTTGTGACTAGTGATGCTTGATGGGCAGGTTGGTTTTGCATTCATGCTGTCATCATTCATTAGCAAGTCATCTGCAGCCACTACTATTGGTTTCTTCATTTTTATAATCGGTTTCTTTACCCAGGCAATGATCCAACTCTGAACTTCTTGATTTTGAGTACGTGTTCAATTATATTTATAGACCTTAGTCATTTATTGCAGATTGTTACTTCTGCTGGATTCCCCTATAGTCATACCTTCAGTCGAACTCTTCAAAATATCTGGTCATTGTTCCCACCCAATCTTCTTGCTGAAGCACTAAATCTTCTTTCTGAGGCTACTAACACTCCACAAGACATTGGAGTTAGCTGGAGTAGACGAACAGAATGTGCTCCAAATGATGACGAATGTATAATAACAATTGTACGTCCATGGTTAAAAATTGTAACTTTTTGGTTGAGAATATTTCCCACTATATCTGTCTGCTTGGTTATCTTTTCATTAATGCTTTGTTTTTGCATGTTCCTGACAGAATGATATCTACATATGGTTGGTGGCAACATTTTTTGTGTGGTTTGTTTTGGCTATCTACTTCGATAACATAATTCCAAATGCATCTGGTGTGAGAAGACCGGTATTTTACTTTTTGATGCCTGGGTATTGGACGGGGAAAGGTGGAAAGGAAGAAGGTAAATAAAAATAAATTTATATTCATCAATTTTCCTATGTGAACTAATGTGACCAACTTGTAGTTTTCTTGCTTTCTCTTAATAGAGGGTGGCATTTGTAGCTGTATTTATTCAGCTCCACCTGTGGAGCATAATACTCCCGATGATGAAGATGTCCTTCAAGAGGAAAACCTTGTTAAAACACAAGCAAGGGAAGGTATAGTTGATCAGAATGTTGCAGTTCAGATACGTGGTCTTGCAAAGACGTATCATGGGACCAGGTCATGTAGTTGCTGTTGTAAATGGAAGAAAACTGCACCCTACCATGCTGTTAAGGTAAGCAATCCTTTTTTTTTACAATAGTTTTCTCGCCTGACGAAGAACGATATGTTTCTTCATCACTATGTTGTCCAAATTTAAGTACCTGAACATAAATGATTTTCTCTTTCCAAAGTACTGTTTATTTTCCTAATATACTTCGATGGGAATTTCTTGGTCTAGGATGTTGGGTCGTTTAGGATGGTAAGAGCAGTTTAATTTGATTGATTTTTGGCCAGCTAGCACCCTTTTGAGCAATTTTGAGTCACAATTCATGCAACCACATCATTATGGCTCTGCGATGTTATTCAGTATCTATATTTGTTCTGTCTTCAATATGTTCATCAAGCTGTTCTTTTCTCATGATCTTAACAGTTGCTGAATAACTGCAGTAAGGCTAGAGATGGAAAACATAATTTTGAGTTTTTGATAGGAATTTAGATTTCTGCTGTAAGTGGGGATTTATTTAAAATCTGTTGCTTACTTGTAAACTTGTCTTCAGGGCTTATGGGTGAATCTTGCAAAGGATCAACTATTTTGTCTTCTTGGACCCAATGGAGCTGGAAAAACCACAGCAATCAACTGCTTGACTGGCATAACACCTGTGACCAGTGGAGACAGTAAGATGCCTTGATCCTCGAATCTTTTCTCTTGATGCATATAATTCAGTAGAATGAATCATCTATGGAAGTAACAATCTGTTATAAATTATAAACAGCACTGATCTATGGTAACTCTGTTCGAAGTTCTGTTGGTATGTCAAATATTCGGAAAATTATAGGAGTTTGTCCTCAGGTAACCCTCTCTCTCTCTCTCTGACATGCAGTCACTCATAGTCGGCATGTGCATCAGTGCTTGCCGTTTTCAGCATTTCTAAGTACGAATCTTCATTCGGGTTGGATCCTAACATTTTTTACTTTTGTGTTTTTGTAGTTTGATATCCTTTGGAATGCTCTATCTGGTCAAGAACATATTGAGTTGTTTGCTAACGTCAAAGGCCTACCTACATCTATAATCGACTCGGTATGTACCGCATAGACTTGATGGACATAATATTTACACAACTTTTGTCTTGCATTTGTTTATCTCTGAATCAACATCCCATCATATTTAACCATATAAATATTTACTAGCATATCAGCATCTAAAAACTATCTGAAAGACTCTTTCAAGTTTCGACCATCATCCTACCCATGAAGATTGATTTATTTACTCGAATTCCAGGTAGTTGAGAAGTCACTGGCTGAGGTCAGACTCACAGAAGCTGCAAAAGTGAGAGCTGGGAGTTACAGTGGAGGAATGCGGCGTCGACTCAGTGTTGCTGTTGCCCTTCTAGGGGACCCGAAGATGGTCATTCTGGATGAACCTGTATGTACTTCTGTTTCTTTCCATTTTTCATGCATAAAACGAGCACTTCTTCCCTTGCTACGTTGTATTTATTACCGTACGACTGCAGACTACTGGTATGGATCCAATATCCAGAAGGCATGTCTGGGACATAATAGAGCGTGCGAAGAGAGGTCGTGTCATTGTCTTGACAACGCACTCTATGGAAGAAGCTGATGTTTTAAGTGACCGTATAGGGATCATGGTAAAGGGTAGGCTCAACTGCCTCGGAACCTCAATCAGGTTGAAGTCACGATTCGGTACTGGTTTCATTGCTAATGTTAGCTTCACTGGAAGCAACAATGGGCTCAACCCTCCTGATGGAGATGCAGCCGACACAACATACCAACAGGAGTCTGTAAAGCAGTTCTTTAGAAACGTACGTTGCATAATTCCAACTTATTTAAGTATTCCATCGAGTTCTAAACAGTTGGTTTCTCATTCCGGCTCAAACTTTTTCAGCATCTAGATGTGGAGCCAAAGGAGGAGAACCGAAATTACATGACTTTCGTCATTCCACACGATCGAGAAAAGCTTCTTACCGTGAGTACTCGATAATATCTGTTGGAACAATCTTTTTTTTTTTTTGGCTTTGCTTGTTTAACTGTTTCATGTCTTGACATTTGTAATCTCGAACAGAATTTTTTCAAGGAGCTAGAAGAGAGAGAACAGGAATTCGGCATAGCGGATATACAACTTGGCCTTACAACCCTCGAAGAAGTTTTCTTGAACATCGCAAGGCAAGCGGAGTTAGAAAGCGCCGCAGCCGAAGGACGACTAGTAACTTTGACAATAACATCCGGAGCATCAGTTCAGGTAAGTGAATGTGATGAAAAAGTACACACATATTGACACACACATATGCATATATATGTATATAACTACAAAGGAAGTTCAACATAATTTTTTTATAAAAAAAATAATTGAAACGCGATGCAGATACCCGTAGGTGCAAGGTTTGTGGGGATTCCGGGAACGGAATCTGCCGAGAATCCTAGAGGTATCATGGTTGAAGTCTACTGGGAGCAAGATGATTCCGGGACACTCTGCATTTCAGGTCACTCCGCCGAAATTCCATTACCTAATAATGCTCAGCCGATGGTTTCTCCACCTAATACCTGGAACTGCTTCAGCCGGAGAGCACCAGTTCGGGGAGTTGTGATCGACCCGAACGACAGTGTTACACCTACTTCATAGTCATTCATATTGGACACCTTATTTTCACACTCTTTTTACATGATTGCTTGAACCACTACAGTCTTTCAGGTTTTTGAGTTTTTGTTTTGTTTTACTTTTAATGGGGGTATAAAACATAATTTGTTTTGTAAATATATTTGTGTTCAATTTCTAAACATTTTGTCCATCAAAACTCTAATTAATAGCACGTATTCCAATTTAACAATTAACAATTTTAACAATTGGGGACCAAATTCGTAAAATTAAAGGCAAAGAGGCTAAATTCAAAAAACCCAAAGAGAAAAAAGACCAAGGAATTAGAAACAAAGAAGCCCTGATACACATCTAGGAGGCCAAGAACAAGTATAAATAGCAACAATACAAAATCAGCAGCAAGACAAGATTAGTACAAACAAACGAAATGAAAATTTCACGACAAAGATGATTATTTTTGTGGCCATGTTGAAAGTTCAAAACCCTATCGATTTACACTCCTCTCACAGACACCGAGAGAATACGGAACCTTTCAGAGGCACACGGCCTGTATCCTATGCACACCTATTATTGACCCTGTTTAGATTTCGTAGCATATTTTAATAATTTTTATACACCAGAAAACATATGAATTTTGGACCTATTATTGAGATCATCTCCTCCACCCGACTTGAGTCACCTTTGCTGCAAAATTGAACAAAAACTAGATTCATTAACATGGGAACGAACAAATGCCCGTCTAGATTCAGGCCTATTCATTTAGCACGGGCGAGGATAAAGGAAAGGATCAACTGTTAAACAACCGACATTGCTGAAATACGTATACTAAATAAAAGAATATGCCTTTAGGAAAGTTTTACGATGAAACATGTCAAACTTAATATAAGCGAGTACTTAAACAATCAGTTTTGGTCAATTTAGTAGATAAACTTTCGATTTTTTCAAAATCATACCTGATGTTTAGTTTTTGTTTCATTTTAGTACCCACCGTTAAAAATTTAACGCGTCTATTATCTAAACTATCAATTTTGGTCTGTTTTAGTACCTAACTTTCAATTTTTTTAAATTTAACGTTAAATTTTGAATAGGGATACTAAAATGAACAAAAACTAAACTTTAGGTATGGTTTTGAAAAAATTGAAAGTTTAGGTACTAAAACAGACCAAACTGATAACTTAGGAACTAGACGTGTAATTTATCCAAACAAACTGAGGTTCTAAACAAGAATCAGAATTTCATACCATTTCTGTCTCTGGATGACAATGGTCTGTCATTTTTGATCCCTTCTTTTCCTGCATGAACCAGTCTCTGTCCCCTTGGTGACTGTGACCTGCTTTTACAGTGAGCTGATAATGGCAAAGACTGGCGACGAGTGAGGTTAATTTTGTCATCTCCATCCTGGGCGGATCGAGGAGAGTGTTGCAGTCTCAGCTTAGCCTTAGCAGATTCAGTTACTGCCATGTAGCTTGGCAATGGAGGACTGATTTGAGGTCCATTTTCAGTAGGATCTTGTTTTGCAGAATTAGAAGCTTTCCTGCCAGATTTCTGATTTTCATTGTTCATTAACTCATCCTTCTTTTTCAGCTCCACATTTGCTATGGAAGTTTTATTGTCCTTCACAGTTCTATCTGTCGAAGGTTTTGAATCAACAATAGTGGGATCTGCATGAAATATATTTAATGTCTCATTCATCACAAATGGCCCCGACACAGATTCAGTGTCGAGTGATTTTGAAACTGCCATGGTCGTCCCTCTTTTCATCTTCTCATCTGAGCCATTCACTTTCACAGCAATCTCTTTCTTTACCTTCTCAGCTGAGCTTTTTACTGTCGAGGCCGTCTCTTCCTTCACCTTCTCAGCTGAGCTGTTTACTGAATCTGTCTCTTGTCTCTTCTTCTTAGCTGAGCTATTTACTTTCATGGCCATTTCATTTTTCACCTTCTCAGCTGAGTTATTTATTGTCAAGACTGCCTCTTTCTTCACGTTCTCACCCGAGCTATTTACTGTCAAGATTGTCTCTTTCTTCATCTTCTCAGTTGAGCCATTTGCTGTAGCTGGTTCTTGTCTCGTCTTCTCAGCTGAACCATTTACTGTAATGGCCGTCTCTTTTTTCATCTTTTCAGTTGAGTTATTTATTTTCAAGGCTCTCTCATTGTCCATCTTCTCAGCTGAGCTATTTCTTGAAGTCATCTCCTCAGTTGAGCTAGTTACTGTCACAGGCATCTCATTCTTCATCTTTTCAGCTGAACCATTTACCATCAAGGCCATCTCTTTATTTGTCTTCTCAGCCAAACTATTCTGGCTCTGTTCCACGGTATCTATATTAGAAGCGCTTGAGACCTCCTCCGAACTTGGGTTTGACTTTTCAAATTCAACCTCCGACTGCACTGACTTTTCTACTACAGGATTATGAACTTTTCTCAAGTTGCGTTTAACCTTTTCAAGCTCGTTTTGCGGGTTTTCCTGCACTAACAACTCAGCGGGATGGCTGGAAAGTTTCCTCAGGTTATGCTTGGGCTTGCCAAATTCAGAGGTACCATCCAGATTTGCAGTACGAATCCTGCGAACACTCAGTTTTGGTCGACCTGTATCAATTTCAACATGACCATTAGCCTGTTTCCTCTGCAACTTAGAGATGGAGGCTTTCTTTGGTTGAGGAACTGATTTCCAGAAGTAAGATGCTGACCAGCGCTCTAACCAGTTCCAGACTGAATTTGGTTCCCCAGCATCAACTTGGAGGAACAAAGGCATTACAGGAAATGATGAAGCAACAAGCTAAAGAAAGAAAAAAAAAACAGTAGTCACTTACCCTATGTGAAACAGAAAAGAAGGTAAAAGGAAAGGAACAAATCAAATCATATTTAAATTTAAGAAATCGTGTCTACTGACAGGGGATAGCTAACAATATGCCTCTTAGCACCCAATATTTTTAGGTGCCACGAGAAACAAGACATGTTTTTTAGGTTTGATTATGCAGAATAGTTTTTGTGCTGCATAATCTAGTGATCCAAACATCTAATATTTACAAAACGCTTATGTTAGATGATATTTGGAGCCCCTACCTAATATTAATGAAATGAGAGAGTACGTATTAGCTTGAAAAGTAAACTTTTGAACAGCTGAAGCTTCATTGAACAAGAATAACATAGTAGCTTCCACTCATTTCGGCCATATCAATTTGATTCAGGAAGATTAATATTAGAAAACTCGGCAAATGAAAATATGAATGCCTGAATTAATCATTCGCAATTGCTTCTTGCATAGTACCGTGATATGATGAATCAGACGAACAGGAATAAATTAGTAGCTTTCACCCATTTCGGCCTATCAATATGATTCATGAAGCAAGATCAATAATTGGAATATCGGAAATGAAAATATGATTGCCTGAAGCAATTACTTCTTGCATGGTACCATGATATGATGGATAAGACAAGCCTAAGGCCAGATAATGACATAAATGTTTTTCGGCAATAAGAAAAGCTTATATATAAGGATAAAGCCACCGAAGCATAATAGCCAATACATGGCGTCATCTCCAGAAATGTGGCTCGATATCAAGGTAAATTCCATATATTTTCTATTTCATAAATTAAGAAATGTTGTAAGCATGACATCAGCCATACCTTACGAACAAAAGCATTTCCTGACAACCTTCCAATGCGTGCAGGCATATTCACTCCAAGAGAAACCACAGGCTTGCTCTCCTGCCAAACAATGAAATAAGAATTAACAAAGCAAAAAAAAAAAAAAAACCAACATATTTATTGAATAAATACAAATTCGGTGCAGGACGATGAGGACATAAGCAAAAGCACATGTTCTGTACTTCAAAAATTCTATTATGATACAACCTCCTGCATATTGTGATTACTGGAAGTAAATATTACAGACAAAGGACAAGTGATTGCAGGATAAATTTCAATTGTTAGCAACCAGGATGAGAGCATGTACTAAAAGAATTTACCAGATGACTCATGAATAGTAATTGGTTCATGATCAAATTCCCAAAAAAAATTACCCGAAGGTTCATTTGATTGCATTTCTTCTGCACTTCAAGACCACCATCAAAATGTCTGGCCATTACTCCACGGACATGAGCTTGTAGCTTGACAATTCCCATTAGACAGCACAAAGTAGTAATTGCTTGTCTTCTAACCAAGTGACCACGAATAAGTGCCTGCAGCCTTATAATTCCTTTGAGGGACCCAAATGCTTGGCAAGCCTTCACATAATTAACCGATAAAATTAGTGAAGGGATAATCATAACTGAAGGTTCTTGCTAACCTATTTGAAAACTGATAGTAAACTTGCATAGGCAAAAAGAGAAATACCAGGTAACCCCTAAAAGCAGCTTGAACAATGGTTGCTGCCAGTTTTTCTTTCAGCCTCTCTGGATCATGTTGCGAATCTTGGAGAATGGAATTTGGAGAATCTATGCCTTGACTCACCGACATTGATATCCCGTCATCATTAGAGATATTTGCAGCTTCATTGTTTTCCACTTCTAATTCCCTTTCATCCCTCTCATTGGCATATGGATTAAGGTGTGAAGAAAAGGATGGAGCCACAGCAACTTCAGTTTCTGATGCCCTGATCTCATCCAATGCCTTCTTTACATTGGCAACATTCTGCAAATAACAATTCAATTGGAAAACAGAAAGCACGCATTAATATTTTAGGATTGATGGAAGAAAGATGCCAAATCATGTTTATCTCATAAATCCAAGAAATGATATATTCCCAAGATAAAAGCATCAAAACATCCACGTTAAATACTACAACTCCCAAAGAAATTTCCAGGCAGCTAATCTTTAAATCAGTTAATCTTTACATTTACTTAATTTTCTCGGTGGATGGAACCAAGGCACCAAAATTAAACCAAATGGCAGAGGAACCAACCATAAACTGAAAATTATTCAGATATATGCTATAGAGAAAAACAAAACAGTTGGAAGATAAATATTTATATTTATAATTCATTATTAGAGGTTTCTCATGCACGTGATCTGAACATCTACTTGTTATTTAAAAGTAATTAGTAATAAAATTTACCTCCCTTCCTTTATGGTAACCGGTTTTGGAAGATTTCTTTCTAGAAAACACCATCTTAATCCATTTCCCAGGTGATTTTCCCATTAGGTGAAGATTACGTGAAACTGAAAACACCTGCAATCGAATTTCAGCTTCATTCTATGCTGTAACAGCTTAAGAGTGCATTAACCATAAATTCAAGAATCGTTGAAAAAAATGTCAAACGAAAACATAAATTACGCTTAACAAATTACAGTGACACAAAAGTTCTACAAACAATTAAAAACAAAAGGAAAGCAAATTACTCAAAATCAGCTTAAAACCCATTGATCTAACAAATTCAGAGTCAAATTATCAAAAACGAAGAAATTAAAGTAATTAGTCGTAAAATTCATGATCTACTGATAGATGAAATCAAAAGGAAAGCGAAATGGCGCCAAAAGAAAATAAAAAAAAGAAAGCATCTCGCGACTTAAAAAATTCACACCAGATCTGATACTTCCCTCGCAAATGCAACAATTACGAAGTTCAAATCTACCGTCCCTGGTTTTCAAAAACACCGAAACATCAGCTTTTCATGAGAAAATAACAGAGAGTAAGCTTGCAAGCAAAACAAGAAGAATATTTACCATTTTTTGTTTTTTTTTATTTGTTTTGGCTTTGCTTTTGTTTTGCCCTGGCTTTGGTATCGAGTAGTTCCAAAAATAACGGTGGGAAATCCAGTACAACCTGTTCCAGAGTAATGATTTTTGAGTTGGATGGTTTTGACCGTTCGATGGATAAACTGTTTAGAGAATGTAACAAAGAAGCTTTGATGGATGGGATAATTTTAAGATTAATAAAAGGAGGTGGTGTTGGGTTGGTTGTCCCATGTTGTTGCAGTTACTTCGGGAACAAATAAACAAGCAGCGACCCCTATTGTGGTTAGGTTTAATTCATCGATAAACTACGCATTTAACACCTAAATTATCATTTTTTACTTGTTTTAGTATTTAAATTTATTTTTTTTAAATTATACATAACATTTAATTTTTATTTCAGTTTAAAAACTTAACGGGTTTAGTACCTAAAGTATTAATTTTAGTCCGTTTTAATACTTAAATTTTTATTTTTTAACTTAACATTAAATTTTGAACGGATTATTAATATGAAACAAAAACTAAAGTTTTATGCGATGGAGTACTAAAATGAAATAAAAACTAAAATTTAGGTATGATTTTAAAAAAAATTAAAAGTTTATATATTAAAACAAGTTAAAACTATTAGCTTAGCTACTAAACGTGTAATTTATCCAAATTTGCCATTTTTATTTTTGTGTTTTTAAAGATATAAAATATTATGTTTAAAATACTTAGGTACGAATATGAATTCGAATTATTTAAAAAGAACCATAAAGTTAATTTTAGTTATCTATTTTCATTCATCAAACGATCTTAAATTTTTATAAAATTTAAAAGTTTTACATGACTTAAGTATTTATATATATATATATTTGAATTCGTAATAAATGATAAGTAAAATATATATAATATTTAAATTAAAATTTAATTAATTATAATTCGATATAACTTGATTTGTACTTTAAAAAACAGAGTTGATGTCACCGGTTTTACCCTTCCACCTTGTCGCCATTCGTGGAAGTTATTATTGGTTGATAGTGGCGGGTGCATAATGATAGGTTTGTCGATATGGGACACAACATAGATATTGAAATAAGAATTATGGAAATTATATTTTTCAAAAAAATGAAAATTATAAGCTTTTTCACTGAAATTATCTTATACAATTTATTTTCAAGATCAATATATATTTTGATCATTCTACAATTATAGGTTTGTTAATATTGTTGTTTAGTTTAAATTTAATATATAATATTTTATTTAGTTTTTTTAACTATAATTAATATTTTATTTTCAAAGCAATTTAATCATTTTACAACCCATTTATTTTCTCAAACCAATATTTGAAGGTGACAATCAAACATCTAGTGTCTACTTGAGAAGAGCACCAGCATCCACCACCAAGTCATGCCCGGTTATTAACTCAGAATCTAGCGACGCCAGAAACACCACCGCATCAGCAATATGCTTCGCTTTCAGCGCCACCCCTTTCAAGCTAGTGAGTGGTTCAAAGACCTGCTCCGCCTCCTCTGCCTCCATCCCGAGGTAACGACAGAGTAACGGGGTTCCCACAGCGGCCGGCGACACGCTGTTTACTCTAATCCCATGCACTCCGAGCTGTTTGCTAGCCGATCTCACCAACCCGACCACCGCGTGCTTCGACATGTGGTAATCGGTGAGACTGTCGCCACCGGATCTGGCGCAGGTGCTCGCCGTACAAACGATACTTCCTCTGATGTTCAGTTCCACCATGGCACGAGCGGCGTGTTTCACGCAGGCGGCCATGCCGCGCACGTTGATGGCGAAGAGGCGATCGAGCGCCGCCAAGTCCAGTTCGACGACGGTTTGAGGCGAGTTGCTAAACGTCCCGGCGTTACTGAACATGATGTCGAGCCGCCCGTGGTTCTGGACCGTCGTCTGGACTAAATTCTTCACTTGATCTTCGTCGGTAACATCACAGTGCATGTATGTGCACTTATGGGAACCGATGGATTCGACTACTTTTTGGCCTAGTTCATCTTGGATGTCCGCGATCACGATCATACGGGCACCATGGATGGCGAACTGACGGGCGGTCGCTTCTCCGATTCCACTTGCTCCGCCGGTGATTATGGCTACTTTTCCTTCGAGCTTCTTGGACATTGCAGCCTCTGACAATAAAGATAAAAGCAAAGCACCAGTAGATGCTTCATTATAAACTAATGAAACTTTGGGTTTTAGATAAAATAATAGTCTAATCTGATTTTTAAATCGCTGCCATAATTGACTGACATAAATAATATGGCTAATATAAAAATCATCCCAGTGCTTCACAATATTCTACTTAAAATAAATTGAATATTTGAAATCTTTTATCGATATAATATAATATATAAAAAAGTTTCGACTCTTAATGCTTTTATCACTTTACAATATATATATATATGGAGTCAAATTTTGAATCGAGTCGAACTTACATAAATTCGATCAAATTAAGTGGCATGTATAATATTCAGACTAAATTCATGCAGGTTAAAATCTCGAGCCATGTTATCTTTTAAATTGATTTACTTTTTATTTTTAACATGACATCTAAAATGTTAATCTTGAATGTTGAAGAGTCAAAGGACGATCCATTTTTTAATTGGATCTCATTTACTAGCCAATTTTACAACTTGACAATTACATATAAAGGAATCAGAATAAAAAAACAGTAACATATATATATATATAGCAAAGATTCGAAACATTTTTATAATGTCACATTTGTCGAAGACAGCTCCACACTACATTCTGCACAAAAATAGTAAAATGAAACAAAACGAAGTCGATCACCAAGCATGACATGGAAAAAAGATGTATATATACCTACATTCCCTTCACATTCTACCAACAACTAACCTATGTCACTCGGACTAGAAGGCGAGTGTTACGAATTCGATGAAGATACACCAGGTTCAGGGAATCGTACTCTCGCACTCGTATCTGAATATGCATCGAAAATGATCGCTTTAGAAGAATAAGAAGAAATGAATAATCCGGGTAACATGGCACCTGACACTGATTAATGTACACTTCATGCACCAGCAAAACAAAACAAAACAAAACAAAACAAAACAGACAAAGCTCGGTGTTAAACTCGAACCTAAATGCCATCTCGTGACGCAACTGGTTTGGTAAGTTTCGGATATAGGTAGTTTATCTACAGCAAATGGTGGGAGGGAATTGTCAAGCGGGAACAAGCATAACAAAGTCGACCGATCCCGTTACCTCAAACAGCAACAGCTTGGCCGGTAACCGCATCGTGGAGCTGCAAGGAACCATCTTCCATCAAGTTAAGACTCAAGCTCTTGAATCTCTCTCTTGAATACTGCCTTGACGCCTTTCTCCAATCGGTGCCCGCTTTCATCATGGCCACAAATTCGTCATAACAGATTCTCCCGTCCTGAATAATCAAAGGTTGGCAAAGAAAAGAAAAAGGGGTAACTGTTGAATTATGGAACAAGTTCAAAGTTATGAAAGAAAATATATGATGAAAGGGCACTTGGTAGTTTTAGTTACAATTAGCAATCCTCAGTCCCCCAAAGGCATTGGAGTTTTAACCTTTTTTCAGCAGAAACTACTTTGACAAACTTCGAAAACCATAATCACTTAGATTTTGTGTTATATGGACTCGAGGATGAGCGTCAGATAACGGTATATGTCCAACACGAGTATGCTTACATTTGGGAGATCATGCCCCATACTAACATCCAAATATGTGTAATGTTGAAAATGAATATTTCAAAGAAAATGAAATCTCGGATATTTATAGAGTAAAACCTTGTCAGTGTCGACTTCACGCATGATGTCGTTCAGTGCATCAACATCAGTTTCACCAGATTCATTGGCTAATGCGTCGTGTAACTCGTCCAGTTCAATATATCCACTCCCATCTTTGTCAAAGAACATGAATGCTCTGCGGAAATGCTCATCATTCTCCATCTTCTGCAAGTGAATTGTCACTGCTACAAATTCTCCATAGTCCAACACTCCATTTCCATCAACATCAGCCTGATATCAACACAAAGGAAACATAAGTCAACATTCGAGTCCTTGGAAGACAAGTGAAATTATGAGGGAAAAAAGTAACAATGATGCTAAATTTTGATATTTCAGTTAATTAAGCAGACAAAAGAAAGGGATCATACCACTTCCATTAACATCCTGATCTCTGGTTCAGCCAACTGCGAACCAACCTTCCGAAGACCGGCCTTTAGCTCCTCGTACGAAACTTTCCCATCATTGTCCGTATCCATCAATGTGAACATATCTTTGATTACTTCAACCTCTTCTACCGATAAGTGCTCTGCAATTACCTGCAGCATTTACATAAACTGAATCACCTGCAGGAACTTGCGAACTGCACAATGGTCTTGGATCTTTAAGAGACAATCGCATAATCTGCCTAAAAACGCTTACCCTTAAAGCCTTCTTCTTAAATTTATTCATCATCGAAAACTGCTTGAGCCTGGCTCTCACAATATCTCCCAATGGAACATTCGGAGCTTTCTTTGCATTTTGCAACCAGGGATGTTCTGTGCCCGAAAGAAGGGTCAAGGATGGATGAGATCAAAAAGCAAAAAAATCAACATAGCTACTTAAAAACGTCGAAAACAAGATCCTGCAGGAACATCAAAGTATATATTGCATGCTAAAATAAATGGTTTCTTCTGATTAGAAGTCTTAAAAGCTTAAATATTTCTGTGACAGAAAGCATCTCAGCATTTGACCACACAAAGTTGCAAATAATGTTAAGTCATTATCAGATGCCAAATGCTATAAACCCGACCGCTCCACAGCATAAAGTTAGCTCGATGCTTGAATGCATTATGGCAGGGATCTGAACTTTCAAGATCATCGTGACCTCACTGTCTTTAACAATAATTCATAATGTTCAGGCAGCAAGTACTATGGGTCCTCCAATGCTATCAAAAGCTAAAAATGCAAACTGCCTGTCCTTGATACTAACGGAAAATTCAACACGATAAGAACTGCCGGAGAACCTACCGAGCACCTGTTGAGCAGTCAACCTTTTCTTCGGATCGGGTTCTAACATCTGCCTAACAAGGCTCTTAGCACTGTCTGAAACTTGAGACCAAGGTTCCCTCTTAAAATCAATGACCCCTCTCAAAATCGCAAGAGCAACGCCCTGTTCGGTCTCTGAAAATATATAGATTTAAATGCTACATGTTCATGAGAGTGTTTGGAACTGTACAAGCATGTAAAAGGACAGAATCAAGAAAAAAGGTATACCTGCCCAAAAGGGAGGAACCCCACATAACAAAATGTAAAGGATCACACCAGCACTCCACACATCAACCTCTGGTCCATAGTCTCGTTTCAAAACTTCAGGGGCCATATAATATGGACTCCCCATAATCTCGGTAAACTTCTCCCCTGAAAAATTAATCCAATTTTCCAAATATCAATCCTGCAATCAAGCTGAAATCCATGAATAAATCTCACTATAAAGGTAATCAAAGTTCAAAAACTCAACAATCAGCTGTTGAACAAACATCTAACGAGCATAATACGAAATCCAGTCAAATCAAACAATCCCAGAGAGAATTCTGCTCTTCGAAAAAGTGTCGTAAACAGGAAAAAAAAACCAAAAACCCACACAAAAATCATCTAAATTTTGGGTTGTAATTCAAAATTTATCAAAAACCCGTATAAAACCTCAAAAAAGGAAATGAATAAATTCATCAACATACCAGGCTTAAAGAACACGGATAAGCCAAAATCGATCACTTTTAGAGGCGAGTGTTCTTTCTTGTTAGCAAACAAAAAATTCTCAGGCTTCAAATCTCTATGCATAACGCCATTCTCGTGGCACATCTTAACCACCTCAGCTATCGTCTTCGCTACGTTCGCCGCCGCGCGTTCCGTGTAATGCCCTCTCGCCACTATCCTGTCGAACAGTTCCCCACCCTCACAAAGCTCCATAACCAAATGAACGTTTTCGTTGTCCTCGTACGTCGCTTTCAGTTTCACGATATTCGGGTGTTCCGGCAGAGTCGACATTATGGCAACCTCGCGCCGGACGTCTTCGATGTCGACGGCTGTCCGGAGTTTCTTCTTGGAGATTGACTTGCACGCAAGGGCTTCGTGCGTTTCCCTGTCCGAGCAGAGGTAAGTAATCCCAAACTCACCTCGCCCCAGCTCGCGCCCGAGGACGTACTTGTCGAAAATTCGAGTTCGGTGACTCAGTGGGATCACATCTTTTAGAACTCGGATCGGATCCGGCGAGGCGACTCTGTCTGAGAACGGGTTTGTTTTCCTTTCCCGGTGTTTTTTCTTTCCCTTCTGGTTCTGGTCCGATCGATTCGGTTTACTTTCTGGACTGTCGTCCGGTCTTAAGCATGCGTTACAATTTCCCATAATCAGAAAGAATTATAAGAATAGCTGAAACTAAATCGCCGCCGTTGCGGGGTTGGTGGGCGGAGGGCGGCGGAGGAAGAAAGAAAATAAACGAAAAGTAGAAAACGCGGGGTGACTGGTTACTCGAGAAAATCTGGTGGGTTTTGAAAATTTCCTCGTTGCATGAATATGATTATTATTTTATTAGTAATATATTTTTTTTAACAAAAATGATTTCTTTTTATTTTGAATTAATCAAAAGGGATCCGATCTATCAATCGATTAATCTAGATCGGTACTACGTAATCGAGAACGACCCTCCTAACTCAGTTTGTTCCATTCGCAAACGTCATGATTCGAACTCCTAACATTACTTAAGGGACCTAGTGTCTCATCTCACTAAAACAACTGGTTGTTGTTAACAAAATTTATTTCTTTAAGGAAAAATAAAATTATTTGTTTATTACCTTAAAAATGATTATTTATTTTTTAATATGATTATATTTTCTTAATTTGATTAGTGAGGGGTGTGAAGGGAAATGAGTTCATTGTAACACACACTCCAAAATTATGATACTTATTCTAAAGTAGTATGTAAACTTTTGAACATGTTAATTTCATCAAAAACTATGATTTATTATAAAGAAATCCTCAATTCTTTTTTGAAGATTACAAGTTTAAAATTGTATGAAAATTTAAAATTGTTAGAGTGTGACCTCTCTCAATTTATTTATGCTTTTTTATTAAGATAAAGGCGATTACAAAATAATATTTATTTTAAATACTTTTAATTAT